AATTGAACTAGGAGATTGTTGAAATTGTACTCTGATTTTCTCTCTCTCTCTCTCTCATTTTCTTTTCTCTGTTTTCTGAGTTTTCATTTGTGCTTGATTATGAAATTCAACAGGTATGTATGTATGGATGGATGGAACAGGGGATTGCAAGCTCCATGAAAAATCAATTAACCAACAAAATCATTTCTTTGAGCTACAACTCTGCAAAAAGAAACTAAAATATAGCAAAATTCAAAGTGCAGAAGCATAAATTAGTGAATCAATTTGGCTACAAACACTGAAGGTAAGTAGTTCCTAGGAAAAAAAAATATTGGTAAACCAAAATTTCCTCATGATTAACTACTCCCGTGTTTCAAGAATGTATTTTTTAGTGATATTATGTTTGAAATACATGCTAATCATTATATACTTCTTGATATTATAGCCTCGGAGGAGCAGACTAGTTTGAGCAGCCTCGGAGGAGCACAGATGTTTTCAAGGCTTCAAGGAATAGCATTGATCGGAGAAAGAAACTGAGGCACAACACCAATAGGCCAAAAAAAATGAAGATACTACCTCCAAAGGAGATGAAGTTGACACCTGAGATCACTTTTGGGGGTGCTTGTATTTGTATGGGGTCTCATGTACTTGTATTTGTATAGTATTAGTTTTTATAATGAAGCCTATCCAGTCAAGAAATGGTTTTCAATTGACTTGAAATTTTATTTTATTTTGTTTTAATTTGAAAGCTCAAGAAATTTTATATAGGTCGATACTTGCTATCATTTACTTTATTGGTTAGACCAAATACTTGATAACATTTGTAGCCCGATGGTAGACAAGTATAGTAATATGGTTGTGTTTTGATTCATGTGTGTTTCTTACAACATTGTGATTGAATCTGTTTTCGATAGCCATTTCATTTGGAGAAATAGTTTCTTTTTCTTTTTCTTTCTTCATTGAAAATTGAACTTCTTACTCAAATTCAAATTTAAATTTATAATCCAAACACAACCAAAATCAATTCCTAGGAAGATGAAAATGTAGTAATAGTTCACTTCACAAGCAGAGAGTTCTACTACTCATTCCCTTCTTCCCTTCCTCCCTCCATCTCTTTATATGAAAGTTGAATGTAAATTTAACAT